GGAAGGTTGCCAGTTCAAATCCCACAGCCAGCAGAGGAATCCTACTCTGTTGGGCCCCTGATCAAGGCCCTTAACCCCACTGCTCCAGGGGCGCCGTACAAAAGGCTGACCCTGCACTCTGACACCAAGCTTCTCTCCCCGTCTGTGTCTCATGGAGAGCAAGTTGGGGGTATGTGAAAAGACAAATTCCTAATGCAAGAAATTGAAAATGGCTAATAAAGTGATCTTATCTCTTATCTTATCTTTTGGTTCAGGTAGAAGTGGCTTTAGAGAACATCCAAATCTAAATATTATGGGCAAATGGACACTAAATCAAAGTAAAGAAAATAACAATCCTGAAAAAATGAAAGCGTATTTTCATTTGAGTGCTATCATTGTGTCTCAATGATACAACATGCAGAATTTATTAGGTACAGTTTTGTACAAATTATGGATGAGACTCTAAAGGCTGCTTGTAAAGTTTGTTACTGCAAATCGATTTCTTTGATTAATCTCTTTAGGGTAACCCTGAAGAACATAATAAGATGTAGAGCAATTATAAAGTCATCTCCTGACTTCACAGTCTTATGAAAAGCGTATCTTATATGGATATCAGATGTAACTAGTGCAGCAAATAAATTTGTAACCTTAACCTCTGGACAGAAAAGTGTGTTAAAAAGGCTCTAGGCTTAGCAGTCAGTGTCACCTATAAATGTTTGAGGGACAACACTCAGAAGCTGTGATGTTAAGTGAAAAGCAGCTCAGGCATTGTTTCATAATTAGCAAAGTGTAAATGTCTTTAACCAGGGAAACACAGCCCTTATACTAAGTTTAAAAATATATCTAATAATTAAAATAAGAAATAAAAACCAAATGCCTTAAGATATTTAATACAAGGGAAAATAAACTCAGTGATCAATTGCGTACAGTATAACTCTACTGCCTGTACAGTTATTCATTTAAAGACTATAGTTTAGTTGCTCATTTTCTTTCAAAATGAATTGGAAAGCCAAGTTCAGAGTATATAATGTGAAGATTCTTTACCTTTACATTTGTCTTTTTTAAGGAAAGAAGGTAAAGAAGGTAGTTTTCTTACCTCTTGCCTTAGCCTAAGAGGCAGAACACATGGTGCTCGATTTAGTTTATCACTGTAATGATAAAGTAGTTACTCAGCCTGTAGTTACACAAGCAATAGCTGATAAGGATATCTGAACTATCATTTCTTTCTTATGCTGGGTGTGTTTTTTATGTAGACCTTTTTCAAATATACTGAGTCGTGATGTTGAACATGGTTTACACAGTTATGAAGGTATGTAAATGTACAGCACAAATCCCAAAAATTAAACCTACTTTTGTGTTCATTTTAAAGTAGTCCTAATTTTTTAGTAGGGAGCTGTTCCTTGCAGCTCTCATTCTAAGAAAAAGTAGTGGTTAATTCCATTCCAGGAATGGAATTCCAGGAATATGAGGCAACTATATCGGTCTAAACAGATGGAATCCAGGAGAAGACTGAAACCTGTAATTGAGTGGAGAGATTTAGAAATGAGTCTGAAAATGAAAGGTTGAGGAAGGTAAGAACCATGTTTCACAATAGTTTTGGCTTCTGATGTCTTTCTGGAGTAAGAGTCCTATAATCCTAGTCAGATTTCTGGCACTGACAGAAAGTTCACAACCAATTAGAAATCATATATTTATATCAAATGCTTCACAGATTTGCCATGTATACTCTGTAAATTGAAGACCATGCCACCAGTTTCTCTTTTCTAACACAAAATTGAAGATATCTGCAATACAAGAGACAGGTTCTCATAAAATGAATTTTCTCTCACACGGTCTTCTTGCCTTACAGGTGCAGTACAAGTTTGAAATATTGTGCACATCACTACCTTACAGAAAGTAGTGATAATATATATATAAAGGAAGACACAGTAAATCAAAACAGTGTTTCTGTAAAAATACATTTAAAAATCATACTGATCTCCACACATTAAAATAGATAAGTTGCCTTATCTATGAAGAATACAAGAAAACAGAGGGAGCATCTTCCAGAAGGAAGATACTCTATTTTCTAATTTAGAATTTGTCTGTATAAATAGAGTAACTGTCGATTTTCAGGATATTTTAGTATTTGAAAATTACAACATTACTATGTAGTGTTCCAGGCTATTTCTTCTTCTACTGTGCTATTATCTTTCCTGGTTCAACTCTTTAAAACCTTTACAAGAATAGTTACAAAAGAGAAGAGGCCATTTGGTCTGTCATGCCCATTTGTTAATGTAGGTACTGTAGTTTATTGATCCAGGGATCTCACTAAGTCGTTTCTTTAAGAAAGTCAGGGTATCATCCTAAACAACATGGCTGTGTAGCTTGTTTCATACCTCCCCTGACAACCCTTTTCTGAGTAGAGTCTCTTTTTCTACATTGTAAACGCACATCCAAGTTTTGACTTGTGTTCTCTGGCTCACATTTCACTGTTGATTTTTTACACTTCATTGACTTTGTAGTCATCTCTGTTTAATACTAATAAAGTTCAGTTCTTTCAAGCTGTCAGTTTAGGATAATACTTCAAGCTCCATAACCTACCTGGTTGCTCTTCTCTAGATTTATTCTAGAGCAGTAATATCTATTTCTATAATGTGGTGACAACTTTTTTAAATGAGATCTTACAAGTGCATTATACAATTTAAAATGAAATTATTTAATTTGAATCATATAGTTATTTATTAATTCTAAGTTTATGGATTTAATAAAATATGTCCTAGAGTGCTCTTTTTTTTAAAAGATGCACACATTTCTCTGAATGTCAACCACCTATAATATATTATTTGGAACTTCATCAAAAGCATTCCAAATACATTTGTAAACAAATCTTGTATTTCATTACAAGATTACAAATTACATCAAATTTCCAAAAGTAACAAAGTTGATCAAATTATGGCTTTGAGGTTTATTTAAGTATGTAAACCAGAAACATTTTTAATATAACTTTCTTTTGAATAGCACAGCTGAATTCTGAAGTACAGTATGTCCTGTTTTTCTGTGATTTTCTGCTACATATTTGTAGACAGCACAATTTTCAAATATGATTATTAGCCTTATTCAGTCACAATCTCCTCAGCCAATTAACAACATATTGTAACATGTTTTAAAGATAAAACATGTATTCCTATGTTTACTGTTGCTTTGATTGGACCACAGATATCATGTGATCAGATCTGAATTGCAACAGTTCTTGAGGATTTTTTACAATATTGTTTAAATAACTGGTATTGTTAGTGTTATTTGTGATTTTTAGCAAGATTTCATATAGGCCTAAAATTGATAAGGAAGACTGTAGTTAGTGTGATATCTGAAGAAAAGCTGATGATTAAAACATAAGTTTAAATAAGAAACATAATCTGTAGTTCAGAATGAATTATAATAGCTCCAGTGTGTATATATATATACAGTATACTCTATAAACAAACTGCTAATTATGTTAATGCTTGGCCTTTACTGAGTGATGAGATACTCCTTCCAAAGGAGACACACCCACTCTGGTACAAGTATAGATTAACCAAGTGGGTATATCTCATAGCACAGTTTCAGAACAATATTCTGCATAGCGAGGCACTCGGTGGTGGTGGTGCAGTTGTACAGCTTTATGTCTTGCCTTAATCTTTGACCATTTGACAGAATCTGAAAATATTCGAGTCCTTTCTAATAGGCGTAAGTTATACATATACAAGTTATTCACATACTGACAGAGGCGTAGCCAGATGGATGGCAAGGGGTGGCTATTTTCACCCCTAAAAATGGCTTTGCAATGCCCAAATAAGTTTGGGCATTACTTAAAATCCCATATTGTTGTGAATTTACCCAAAAAAATATAAACGTTGGAAACTATTATGATGCTTCTTAAATGTCATTCAGTGTACGTATAGCCTATTTTGTAAATGACCAGTGTTAGCGGTGTTATTGTTGAATTTCAAGAACATTGAATACATTTGGGCAGTGCATTACAGGATTTTTATTACCTAAATCAAATTCCACTGTAAAAATACATTAGTGGATTTAGTTTTCTTAATCTGTTTGTATATCAGTGTAACTTCCTATGATTTATATGCAAATAAAATTCTGCTGCTCCATGACCTACAATGTTCCATGACCTGTTCTTATGCCTTCCAAATTTAGATAGATTCAGCTACATATACTGTACCTTAAAGATTTTGAGCCAAAAAATCCTTTTTTCCTGGGCTGGAAATTTCTGGTTCTACAAAGCACACTTGCTTATTTACACAAATACGATATTTCAGGAAGGATTCTATGAAAAATAAACTGCAAGCAAAAAACAAATTGAGTGTTCTACTCATCTGTAATATTTGTGTTAACACACGGCAGTTGTCAAATATCGTTCTCTCTTCATGCAAAAGGTACTTCACAAATTTATATGGACTTAAATGTTTTGTTACGTGTCCTGTTTTAATTGACCTGCCTCTTTTTGGAATTTATGAATTGTATTTTTTAGTTGGAAAATACTTTGTAGCTCCTAATTTAACTTTTGTGTCATTAATATTGGTATGAACTTAATTGTTTATATCATTATAATGGCACTTACCTCAACCAATCATAACATCATCTATTTATATTTGTTTGCATAATATTTGAACATTTTTTTAAGAGAAAAAGGTGCTTAATGTCACAGGAATTTCATCTTTCAATGGTAGAGATGGCTTTTGCACAGAACACTAAATCCCATGTGCCTTCACATGCCTGATTTGATCTTTAGTATTCTAAAACACAAAACATGAACTGGACCATAGAGGAGGAACTTTGAATTGAAAAATTCACAATGAAAAAGCTACTGTATCAGATACTTTTTCTGTTGTTTTTTTTTACCATAATGGTTAAATATGATGATGGGAGTTACACAGTGCTACAATGAAAAGTGTATTGGGATACTTTTAACTATTTATTTGAAAACAAATGTCAGGTTATTTAGTAATTGTCTATCTACCTAGCTTCTCTATTTTGCCTTGCAGGTTAACACTGATAATGTAGTGAAAGTCGGACACAGACAAGTTGTCAACATGATACGCCAGGGTGGTAATCACCTGGTCCTCAAGGTGGTAACAGTCAGCAGGAATATGGATCCTGAAGATACAGCCCGGAAGAAAGGTGAGCATTTGTACTTTTGCTTTTGATTAATATTTCAAAATACCTGGGAATGTACCAAATATTATTTATTACCAAATAAATATAGTACCAAATATTTAAGCCAGACCGTGCTATGAAAGTGTCCAGCTAGTTTCATGAACATTGTCAATTTTTTAATGGATACATGCAGAAGCACCGACCTCAGCTCAAAGAACATAAAGAATTTTATGTGGTTAAACTTCAGAAACCTTAAATGTAGATGTCAGTCGTGGGCTTAAAGTATAATATGATTATACTTTAAATAAAATGCTTTACCTTCTTCTCAGTGAAATATTGCTATTCTTTTTTTGTTATGTTGCCCGACTTTTCTGCAATATTAGCATAACATACTTTTTTCATACCTTCCAGCATGATCAGGACTAAAATTAAAGTTTAAATGGAATTCTGCAGTTTTATATTTGATCTGCATGATGAGCACATTCTAATAATTCTTTCCTTATGAAGGAGGAAGGCAGGACAGTTTTTAACACTATCATCTACACATCTGGTACCTACTTCTGCTTTCTTTAACTAGTGTGTCATTTTCCCTGATGGTCCCATTGAGAATTAGTGATAATGTGAAAACACCTACCAGAATAGAACCTACTAACCTTCTCATAGTGTAAATAGTGCCTGTCGACCCTCTTGTCTGTCATGCAAGAAGGCGATTGATCTACCGTGCCCACTGATAGGTAACATTCCTATTCAACATGCTTCTGTTATTTACAGTACCTTTCTTTACAATTACAATCTGAAAGGGCATCTGACAGGACTGAGAGCTAGACCCTGCAATATCCAGCACTTTTACTGAGTACAGTATCTGTGAATACAATAAAGCATTACATTTTTGCCTAAAGTATAATTTAAATACACTAGTATTTTGTTTGGATCAGCTACTTTTTAGATGTTTAGTGTTTAGTGTGTGCAAATTGAGAAAGCATTGGTGATATTCATGTAGGAGAAAAAAATACATTTTTTAATAAACTGTATCTTTAATTCAGATTTCTGTTAATAGTTTGGAGCAATTATGGTTTCAGTTTTTAATAAGCAAAATGTTTTTACAAACAAGAAAAATCCATCATCACTGGAACTTCACAGAGCACAAAAAATACTCTACCTTTTTACATAAAATGTAATACCTTGATTGCCATGAATGAATATCCGTCAGGTTAAATAGATTTGCAATATTCAGAAGCCGTTTAGTTCTTTACCCAGCTACCATTTTCGTTTAAAGAACAAATCCTTTATGTATAGTATTCCCATCATTAATTGTCAAATGCATGAGCAATACAACTGGCCTATGAGTACTCTTACAAAACAGAAACCCTTAAAGGCCAAAGCAGAAAATAGTGATAGTGGTGAACTTTCCTCATGCGATAAAAAACATCTCCTCCCCTCCCCTGTTTCCTTGTTTCCGCTCCATTACTGAAGCGCCTCCACCTCCAAAGAGGGCACCTACCACAGCACTGACCTTACGTTCTAAGTCTATGACCTCAGAGCTTGAGGAGCTGGGTAAGCAAGATTGTGGCTAAAAAGAAATAGAGGAAAACAATGCATGCTGTAAGGTTAAAACAGCCAAAAGACAGTGCTGCATTTCTCTAGCTTTTATGTAACAGGCATGGAGAGAGTGATGAGTCACAAAAAGTGCATGCTTTGCATCATGGGGCACCCTCGTACAATCCTGTCGATGCGGTTTTTCATCTAAAAGCATAATAGCCTTCATCTATTGAGTGATGCTACAGTTTTAATTGTTTCATCTGTGCTAACAATTAAAAAACACTTGCTTTTTGTCCCTTTGTACTCTGATTACCTCCCTAATCTTATTGTTTTTATTTCAAAATTTTATCTGGCCCATCAGTGGATAAAGGTAAGCAGCAGGGTTTTTTCTCCATTTTGTAGGCTGCAAAATGTAGCATTTTTAACTGTAATCTCATCCAGATTTCCCATAACCCTGTATGAGCTATTCAGTTTTCCACATATCAGGTCCATAGCATTTTGCTTACAATGTTTTTTTTTAAAGCTAACCACAGACCTTGCAAGCATAAAGGTTCAATTATTGGCTTTTAAATAAAATTCATGGAAGAAATGACAGAAATGGAAATTGGTGTCACATTAAGAGGAATTAAATATTAATGTCTGATGACCTGCTAATAAATTCTTAATTTCTATGCTTGTGATGTTATGACGTTAAGAACATTACGTGAAGAATAACTAGTAGCACAGTGGCCTTCCATTATTAAACTGCTATGCGTCTGCTCCAGGGCAAACTAGAGAGAGAAATAACACAGAGCCTTCTTACATCATTATTACTGTATGATGAGAAGTGCAATGCAAACTGCAATGGGCTTTGAGGAACGATAATTTTATTTGCAACATGAAGTTATTTTTGTTAGACATTTAACCCACCAGCAACTAATTTGATGTACTAGACTCCCAGGTTGTTCCACCAGTAAGCTTGTCTGAAGTGCGGTCCAAGCCATATAGCCCACACATCAGTGATTTTAACCGTGGCTACATTATTAACCACCTGTGACCAGGATTATCTAAGCAATGGTATACAATTGAGTAGGCCTCATCATTGAGCAGAGGCTTGCTGGACAGTTGTGAGCATGAAGCTATGAGATCTGCAACACTCTTCCATCTGATGTTATGTGGAAATTGCATATGGCACTGAGAATGCATGTTTTTGAGCAATGTCTGCATGCCTGTCATCCCTCCTGTACTTGTATATACAGTATACATCATATTGTATATAGAGAGAAATACACAACAGTAAATCATTGGCTAACCTGACCTACACTATAGCTACGATACATTGTTTGCTAAATGCTTGTCATGTTCCATTTTGAAAGGTCCCCTTCATCAGTTAGATTAGTTTTAAAATCTGTGAGAGTACTACTACTTCTAATTAGGTCATGTTAATTAAACAAACTCAGTTAAGTTAAAATATTAGTATTTTGTTTATGAATCCATCGATTGCTTTTCTCGTTTGAATCATGCACCTGCCCGAAATGTCCATTATGAACAAATTGTTATATTTGCCACCTGCTTTCCTAACACATTTTCCCTAATTCTATTTGTCTATTGTGGTAATAGCCCTTCCATTAAAAAAAAAGAGTTATATCTCATATATAGAGGAGTGCGATAGCAGGGATCTTTAAATAGGGGGTCAAGGAACAACAGAAACATTCACAGCTCTCAGATAAAACACAAAACAAAACCTTAAGCTCTCCTCTAAACTCCTAACTTCTTTAGTTTCTCTCTTTAACACCAAGCAGACAAGCTACTTACCAGTTTGTTGGTCTCAGGGAAAATTACTGTCCTCTTACAATGGACGTACTGTAGTTTTGTTTCAACAGAATTAAAAAACATTTGCAACTTTTGGAAGCCTTTAGAAGACAATGTCAACAGGGGATCCTTTATTGCTGCTGTTCTTTACATTTGTGTGATGGAGAGAGGTGGCTTATCTACAGTACATTTAGTATACGGTGTAGAAAGATTTTCCATTTCCATTATTTGGGGAAAATGTTTCTTATGCTACTGTTCAAACCATGTCCCATGTAGCACTTAAGTTTTACCACAGAGAATGTATCATAAATACATCTTTATTCACTTATAAAATAATAATAACCTTTCTCAGCCATCCCGAGACTACAACAAAATCCAAGTGGGTTTGGAAGCTCAAAGAAGCAGAAATCCACAATTTCAAGTATTCCGTGCAATTTGTATCCTCTGAATGTTTCTTTTTTGTATGTTTCTCACCTTACCAGCTTAGTTGGTATTAAGAAGCAATTTTTTAATTCTATCTATTGATATACCAATTTTATTCTTCAAATTCTAGGTTGAATATACATACAGTATTTCTGATGAGACATCATAGAAATAAGCAACTAGCAGACAACATTACCATTTTCACAAGTGAACTAGCAATATTTACCCCCAATAGTTGATTATAATTTCAACCATGTCTATGATTTTTTTGTAATTACTATTTCACTACCTACCACAAGTAGTTTCCTGATTGTAAGGTACTGATAATTTAAATTCTACACAGAATGATGTTGCAAACAGGTTACAAAGTGATGATTTATTTTCCAATACAGGAGTGGAAAATATAAAGTAATGTTAAAAGTCTAAGGGTGTAGGATTGCATTGGGAAACTCTTGTTGCATCTAAGCTTAGATGCAGGTAATGCAAACAGCATTAACCTGTGATTCAGAACATTCACAGTAGCTTGCTCTCTAGTGGATTGTTAAGGGTAATGTTTGCGGAGTCAAATGCCACTATTATAGGCTTATTTGAATTCTCCATTTCCACATCAGAAACAAACCGGGGATAGTCCAAAGCTGATTTCAGATTCATGTTGTCCAAACTGCTAAAGTGAAGTAAAAGTAATTGTTAACAGAATCTATCAAGATCGCTTACAGTATTTTCTTTATAAATCTATACATACATGACTATTTAAAAATACAGTATATGCTAAGTTTTCCCCATAAGGTCTTTTGGTAACACCTATGCCCTGTCAGTCTTGTGCTTTCTCAGGGTTAGAATTACAGCTTGTTCCCTTTTATTTTCAAGCCACCATGAGGAAAAAGAAGGGTGGTAAGTTCAATAGGCATTTTTCAAACAATGTTTTGTATAACCTTCTCCTTGTTGTATACTTACAGTACATCTAAGCAATTTTCCTAGCAATATTGTTTGAAGCAATGAGAACATCGGTGTATCATCAAAACGGTTGTGTACTGGTTGTGGAGTTTCAGGGTTCTGTTAACTGCAAAAAAAGTGTCATCTTTATAAATGTCTGTGTGAAATGCAATTACATGTTGCATGTTTATTTTAACAAATTAGAATGAAATACACTCATCAAAATGAAAAGCTGACATAACAGTTTAGTATACAAAGCATAAAAAAGCAACATGTGACATTTAAGCTTAGATTGAAGTATAATTGTTTCAAATGTTTTAAAGAGAACTTTTACTAGAATATTTTACTAACATGACTAAACTCAAGTGAGCACATAGATGTACATAGATTGTGTACACATGGATTTCACTAATTTGTGTGTATTAGTCACAAAACTGGAGATTTTCTGTCAGAATGTTATACATTTACTATGCTTTATTATTAGAACTATTTGGCAATAAAGCTTAAGGATTATGTAAGATTAGAAAAATATGAACACAATGATTTAGTATACACAAGAGCTCTGTGGGATGTTAATTTCTATTTTAAAAATTACAAGGGTATTATCAGAAGAAAAGGGGTCTCATAAAGAATTGCACAAATTTATAACAAATATGTAATTTCAGGCAGTGTTCATTCTAAAAGGATAAATTGTTCTTTCTTTAAAGACATAACAATATCTGGGCCCACTTGAGGAGGCACTGACTCAGTTAGATCCAAGATGTTGCTATGGTAATAGTGCCGCATTTGTTTAATATAGAAACATTCCCACCTGGAAAGCAAAATCAAAGCCAATTTTTTAGTACTATTCTCTCCACCACTTACACAAATAGGGTGGTTGCCTTTTCAAAAGGAGACATGCCATTAGATTTGAAAGAGCTGGCGACTGAAGCATTGAAATGTATGCTTTATACAGCATGTCAAAGACATGTAGCATCATTAATCTCGCAGTGTAAAATGGAGGTCACATTAGATTTCTGATGCTGATAGTTTGTGTGCTAAGCAGTGCAGAAGAATGTAAATCCTGACACAATCTTTTGGAATTCACAAAGGAAGATGGGAAGATTGCAAGCCCAGCTCAAAAGCTAGAGAAAGGGGTTAAGCTCAATTAGGATGTCTTTAGAGGCAGGGTGGCTTCTACTGAGTTTTCAATTCGTGATTAATCTCACATTTACACTTCAAGAGATGCTATTTTTTAAGTGTATGTTAAGCAGTGCCTTCCTAAACTTGTGGAAGTTCTCATATTTAAGCTTTTCTATTATAAATAAGCACACTACTATTTAGTGTAGTGAGACATACATCCAGTTTGAGTTTTAGACCACAGTGAGATATAAATCTATATATCTACTGTACAAGTGTTTGTCCTTCCTGAGGCTGGGGAAAACTCCCATTGTTGCCATATTCTGAGTTTGTATATCAAATTTATAGATTAAAAGATTTTTAGCTCCCTTGTATTCTCATTTATTTTTGGAAAACTAATGTTCAAATCCGGGCCTTTGCCCATTTTCTTAAAACTGAAACTGACCTTCTCAACTCTCTCGCCACACAGGTAATTCAAGCAGGTCCATGCACACAGTCAGCATTCTTCAGTGTCCAATATCAATCTATACCATTTATAACAAGGGTGGCCAGCCCTGCTCCTGGTGTGCCACAACCCAACAGGCCTGACAGGTCACACTTAAATCAATTCCTAAAGCCTTGGAACACGTGAGTTTAAAGCAATTTAGTAAGCTAACTTTTTCACTTGAATCAAGAGTGGCTAGATGTGACCCTGGAGAGCCATGTGTTGTTGGTACACTATTTTCACACAGCACCTGTTTACGTCGTCAAAATGAAACTGTTCCAAGTGTTTTGAAGTTTATAACTTAAGGATGACCAATAAATACTGCTGGGTTGTGGTTTCCTAGAACCAAGATTGGCCACACCTGGTCTAAAATGTGGGAAAGGACAGGTAGTTTGTTCCACACATTTTACAGTGGTAATCCAAATATGTAAGCTCTTGAGGTACCAGACAGTATGCATTTTTAAGATGTACAGTGGATAACAGGAGTAAACAAGCAAACCAGCCCTTAGCTTGAAACATGTTTTAGAAAATGGTTAACATTTAACATAACAGCCTTTGGACAGCCTTTTCTAGTCTAGGGTCAGTTATTGTCAGGTATGCATTTACAGAAATGACAAAGACTATGTCCTGTTTTAAAAGAAGTAGAGTCCACCTTGGATACTATGTATACTCCACATTGAATTAACTTATATAAGACATATGCTCTAATTTTCCACTTTTCTTAATGGTTCTGGTTCATGCACAGTGAGGCGTGATATTGCATTAAGCAATCGGAAACAAGTAATGCAAGGAATTCTCTCAGTTTATATTCTCTACAGAGTATTTGTCCCACAAGTGCATTTCAATGTTTAATGTAATTATCCAGGATATATTAAAAATTCACATATATAGAGATTATTTGAAGTATTCTCCTTTAATGCCTGACAGAACACTTTGCAGATACTGAACTCCTTTTCTTCGTTTTTGTGTAGATGCTCAGCCTTCAAATATTGAGGGTCTGAAGAAGAGGATTGTTTTTCAAGTCACACTAAGTAATCATCAAATGCAATGCATGGTGGCTTTCCAACAAAGCAAGCATGTTGTGCAGCAGCAAAAAGACATAAAATAAAGAGCTTGCACGGCTTTTACGTTTTCCAAATGTCAGTTTTCCTTTTTTTTGTTTCTTTTTTAAATCTGCATTTTGGGAAGGATCCTTATTCCTTGGCTTGATGGTTCATTGACAGACATGCTTCTGTAAATTAACTCCTCCATTTACTCAGAAGAGGGGTGTGTGTTCTTTTGCAGATAAAGTGGATGAAATAATGCCACCCCAGAAACCCAGCCGAACAGGAGACAACGTGTCTGTGGACATGAGGGTGGCAACGATTAAACAGCGACCATCCAGTAGGTGTTTCACAGCTTCAACGGACATGAATGTAAGTACTGTAGATTTAATTAGTCTTCACTTGCAGCTTGATCAATTAAAGCATTACGTTTGAGATGCATGTATTGGAATGCATATTGCATTTAGCATCTAATTTAATGTACTTTAACTGAACATGCTGGCCTTGAGAATCACTGCCTGTTGCTTGTTGCAGATGAAGGTATAATGCCTTGCTTTGCTGGAAATGTCCGTGTTGGCTGCTGCTGTGTGCTTACCAATGTATGTTTTGGTATTTAAACCGATGTCCTGTATAGCACTGATTAATTGTTTTATTGAAAGATGTGGATATCTTACAATGTATTCATAAAAAAGTCTCAAAACTATAACTTTAACTATAACTTTGCCACTCCATTTTTGTTTCGGTGTCACTTCTTAAAGTCATATTTGCACTTGTACATTGTATTGATTATAATTTTTTAAACTTTTTAGCCAACTCAATCCAAACACTTGAGCTGTGTCATTCTGCTATTGCAAAACTAGAAGTAGCTATTCATTTTAGTGGAATGAAAATTTGAAACAGATAATCATCAGCGGACCTGCCTATACTTTATCTTCACAGTCAAAACTTAAAATGAGAGAAAACAATATTTTGCCTACTTTCTCAAATCCATTTAAATTATGGATATTTGTAATATGACGAGGAAAGCTGGAAATCTCTCTGAACAACTAACAGGTCAATTCAAGAGCTGTGGATGTTCTATCTCCTCTTTCTTATTGCAGTCCATGTATGATCGACAGGGTGTCCCTGTGATGCCCCCTACAGTCCCTGGAAGTCCTAGAAGTGCCTACCTGGGTGTGCCTCGAGGTACCATGCGCAGACAGAAATCAATAGGTAATATGTTCCGGCACAGAAACCCTACATCTCAGCAGAGAAAACTATACAGTATGTGCAGACTTATTCATGTGTCAGTAGGGATGCAGTTCATTTTTCTCAGTAGTATAATAGTACAATAATTTCTGAATTATAATATATTCAAATTGCCAATTATTTTTTTAACTTCCCTGTTTTCCCTAACTTCTTTCCATTACATTTTTTAATGATGGGCTAAAAAAGAACATAGGAAGGATGTCATTACATATAACATTAATAAAAAAAAGACGTGAGCTAAGCTTAAAAACAGTATGAGAATCACTGTCGTGTGTTCCTCAGTGATGAGGATATCCAAAATGGGTTAACTTTGAGCACCTCTGTCTCCTGAATGGCTGCCATTTTGGTCCAGAAATTACAGTCTAACCATTTCTCATAGGGGAAAACATTTATGGCAAATTTAATTAAAATCAAAAGGGCTGATTTTATATTACAAACAAGAGGATAGTATCTGGCACATCTTGCTGATTTGGTTGCTAGTAGCCAATCAATCCAAGTTCTGTATCTCATCCATTTTTTGTAAGAAGCCAGGGTATCAGTTTCAACAACATGGCTAAGTAGCTTCCAAATGACTCCCACAAGCCTTTGTGGTATAAGGTGCTTCATATTCTCAGCTGTTGATTCTGAAGAAGTCCATTAGATGTACAAGACATTGTTCCCTTTTTAGGAATTAAGATTGGAAAGTCTATGTGCATCAAAACACATTTTACTTCATATTAAGTTATTCATTACTGATAAAGTCACTAGTTATGTCTTCAGGAACCTCTGAAAGGGATTTTAAATATTTGAACTAGTATATCCATTGTTTTAAGTTACAGTTCTGTGGTGATCTAGTGCCAGTCTTTATTCACATATTTGTATACCCTATGACTAACAGTTAATATTTTATTGCTGAATTTACATCGACATACTGTAATATCACCAAGGATCCATCTGAGTCTTTATTGCAAAAGTTATATTTTAGTAGTCCCTATCCTGTATACAGTATCTATAGATTAATACTGAAATCACAGAAATACTGTAACTTCAAATACTGTTCAGACATTTTATGTTGTAAATCTGAACGATTAATTATTGATAATTTAGATGCATGATGATCAATATACTGGATTTTTAACATCTTTGTTTGACTGTTTGTTTATTTTAAGCTCCATGTTTTCTTGTGCTGCATAAATTTCATAGTGGTAAAAATCAATATAAGCATTTGTTAATGCAAATCAGAAGTTCTAGGCAGAGAATTATCACGTAATTATGCATTTGCTTTAAAATAATTGTTGAAGCAGTTATTCATGTAGAATTTACTCCTATGTGTTTCATGATTTCATTATTCCAGTGTTCCTCAAACTCTTCAAAAATGTCTTTAGGCTATTTGTAGACAGTATAGGTAATGGCTTTTCAGTCTTTTTCAATACTAAATTTAAAACGTGGACATCTTCTTGTATTTATCTATATTTAGCAGATGTTTGTCTTGCCATGCTTTAAAAAGCAATGGGGGTCGACAGGAGCATACTTTCTAAAATAAGACTTCTAAAACGGTTTGCAGAAACATTTTGAAAATAGATACCGCAGCTTGCCGAAACTGCCACTGAGTTGGATGAGATGAATATCTGCTTTCTTTTCTTTCACAGGCATAACAGAAGAGGAAAAACAATTTCTGACCCCTCCTTTGCTGAAATTTACCAGGAGCCTTTCAATGCCGGACACCTCAGAAGATATCCCTCCCCCACCAGCCACCTCCCCACCTTCACCCCCTTACAACACACCCAAATCCCCAACTGCGCGGGGATATGGCACAATTAGACCCGGCTTCACCCAGAACTCTGCATCCAAAGGCCCAGGTACCAACAGAGGAGAAAACGTTGGTACCATGAGGCGAGATAAGGGAATGTTCTACCGACAAGATTCAGAACACTATGACGCAGACGAATCATACAAGCAAAATGCCTCTACCCAGCAGAACTTCAGAAATCGAAGAGGCCAGATGCCTGAAAACCCATATTCCGAAGTAGGGAAAGTGGGGAACAAAGCTGTTTATGTGCCTGCCAAACCTGCCAGAAGGAAGGGGACATTGGTAAAACAGTCCAACGTGGAGGACAGCCCTGAAAAGACCTGCTCCATCCCAATTCCTACTATTATTGTCAAGGAGCCATCGACCAGCAGCAGTGGGAAGAGCAGTCAAGGCAGCAGCATGGAAATTGACACACAGATGACCGAGCAGCCTGGGCAGCTGCGGCCCGAGGATAGCCTGAATTTTAGCAGCCCTTTCGCAGCGGCCATCGCCGGAGCTGTAAGGGACCGGGAAAAGAGGTTAGAGGCCCGCAGGAACTCTCCAGCATTTCTTTCCACTGACTTGGGTGATGAGGACATTGGACCAACACCTGCTCCAAGGCTCAGGCATTCCAAATCCATAGATGAAGGAATGTTTAGCAACAACGAAGGTTTGAGAAACCTCATGGCCCCTTCCCTTCTCGCACTTCCTCGAGGGAATGTTACAGCCTTCAGCAGCCCAGAGCCCAGTCATCCAAGAGAACCTAGCAACACCAGGACAGTAAATACTCCTAAAACCGATAGTCCAGATAACAGTGCAGCGAGCAGTAAAAACTACAGCTCAAATGGAGGGAATTACGTGCATCCTGTGACGGGTAAACTTCTGGACCCCAATTCCCCCTTAGCTCTTGCTCTTGCTGCAAGAGACAGGGCCATGAAAGAGCAAACGCAGCCACCCCCGGCAAAGAATGAGCCTGCGAAGCCTGACCTCAATAAGCCGCTCTTCATTGACACAAAGCTGAGGGCCAACATAGAGACCACCTTCCCTGTGACAGCTACCATGAGCCGGCCAGGCCAGCGGGGAGGACTGCGGAGGCAGGAGACGGAGGCTAAGTATGAAACGGAGGCAGCAAAGGATGACAAGAAGCCAGAGGAGAAGAAAAACATGTTGATCAACATTGTAGATACCTCACAGCAGAAATCGGCAGGGTTGCTAATGGTTCACACCGTGGATGGAGCTAAATCTGAGGAGAACAGCCTCGCTGAAGGTGAAAAAGAAGAGGCTCCAGATAATGCTCCAGCAGAGCTGAGAGATCCTAACCAGCCAGCCCCAGAGACAAAGTCACCGGCCTTGAACCCTCAGTCTGTCACACCTGCCAAGACCATCATCACCATAAGTTCAGTAGATGAGCCAGTAGTGTTGCCCTTCCGCATTCCCCCTCCTCCTTTGGCTTCTGTCGACATCGATGAGGAGTTTGTCTTCACAGAACCTCTGCCACCCCCTTTGGAGTTTGCCAACAGTTTTGATATTCCTGAGGACCAAGCAGGAGCATTAGCTGAACTGCTAAAGCAGAGGAAAAATGGAGCCACTGGCACAACACTGACACCCTATAACCCCCATACAGTGGCAGCAACAGTGGCAACAACAAACACTTTAGAATGCAAAAAGCCAGTTGGCCTCTCGAACTGCATGCCTCCTGCATTTGTGCCCCCCCCTGAGAATTTCGACAACATCACCGACTCTGGGATCGAGGAGGTGGATAGCCGGAGCAGCAGTGACCATCACTTGGAAACAACCAGCACTATCTCAACGGTGTCCAGCATTTCCACCCTTTCCTCTGAGGGCGGGGAGAACCTGGACACCTGCACTGTCTATGCAGATGGGCAAGCATTTCTGGTTGACAAGCCTCCTGTACCTCCGAAACCAAAAATGAAGCCCATAATCAACAAAAGCAATGCACTTTACAAAGACGCCCTGATTGAAGAGAATATTGACACTTTTGTGATCCCTCCCCCTGCCCCACCCCCACCCCCTGGAGCCCAATCAGATCCTCCTAAAACCCCAACACAAAGGACCTCAAAGCTCTGGGGTGACCCGCCAGAAGTGAAAAGCCCACCTACTCCCGACCCCAAGGCCAATGTGATAAGTGAACTGAACTCAATTTTGCAGCAAATGAACAGGGACAAGACACCCAAGCCAGGGGATACTTTGGATTCTCCCACAGGATCCAGAACTAACTTTGGAGCAAGGTAATTACATCCCTCTCATACCAATTCCATTGGCTTATGCTTACCTTTTAGTTTTAGAACTTTTACTTTTCTAAAGCTCAACAGTATAGAATAATTTTGACATTCTGTTAAGAAAATATTGTTGTTCGCAAAGTGTTTTTTGCTACACTTGAAAATAATTCTGAATATGGCTGTCCTGTTGACTTATCCTGTATCTAATGCATCCCGCTGTTGGACTGCAAGAGTTGCCAATGTATTTATGTGCAATGTGATTAGGGTTTGTACAAGTATTAGAAGATTTGTGAGATTTCCTTATTAGACAGCTGGAATCTTGTACAGTATGTTCAGCCACAGATTATGGCAACAGGTTTTGTCAACTAAAAAACTCGTAAATAAGCAGAGTTGTAAATAAATGTTGTAAATAGAAAGGGAGGAAGATATTTCATTTCAGAAAGGACCAAGTATTATCAAGACTCCTACAGTACTTTGTCATATCTCTATTTTATATTTTGCAACATTGGCTGATAACATCAAGGCTGGCAGTTCTGTTGGCATTAGATTTATGAAGTAGATATCTTTTTTATAGTTCTATAGTTTTGAATACTTTTTATTCTTTAAAATAACAGACTGCACAGAATTGTTCCAGAAGTACAGCAGTTCTTCTTTTTCTGGTAGAAATTTAAAGAGTCCTGTTGTCCATACACAAAAATGTACAGCGACGTGTGCTGGAAATTTGAAAATGAGCAAATGTTGAGCATTCATGCTAAGTGTTCTCTTATAGTGTTCCAGTTATTTATCAGTATAATACACATCAATATTAACTCCTGGGTAGAGGAAAGACCCTTCATATAATATGTTACACATTATTTTAAAAGTTTGCAGTGCTGTAACACACTGCGGTATTATTTACCTTCAAAATTTTGGGGGATACAAAAACTAATGTAATCAGGAAGGTCAATATGTATTAAGTCTGACCATGGGATTTTGGGAGGTGGCCAACAGTAAGGACACATTTTTATTTACAGGTAAATTAAATTAACTACATTAATAGTAGTCTTGTCCTGTAGTCAATAAATAGACTTCTTTCAACAGGACAAGGGAAGAATTAATAGCCCATGCTGAGGGAAAATATCAGCTAGCAGCACAGCTGCCCTTAAGCCTGATAATAGAAATGAAGAGAGAGACAGATTTAGCCTGTTCCAGGTTAGAGGATGGGTGATCTAACAGAGTTCATTGTTGATGTGACTCCTGGTCATCACCATCTCATTTCTGCCTAGTGCTCCATTTATCATCTCTGGAGTAGGATGCACAGGAGATCTTGCTCCAGTGATTGTTGGTACAGTATACTGTTAAACCACCTTTGATCTGCGAGCTGCCATCTCGGTCAGGGGAAGCTTAGAAAAAAATACATAAGTCTACAGGAAAGGCACTATCCCTTGAAGGCCACATGTGGCATCACAATGTGCATAGAGTTTTTGTCTTAACATAATCCCTTTTCTACCTTAATGTATTGCTGTCATCAGTTCACAGTTCTGGAGGTGTTCCAAGACAAGAAAAAATATCTGGTCTGATTCTTGGTTAGATAGATAAGACTTTATTGATACCGAAGGGAAAATGATGTTAGTTCTTGGTCTGCGGAAATAGTTTTTTCATCTATTGCGCAATTGGTTAGTCTTATGTGAAAGACATTTGGAAAGAAATAATATCGATAAGGCCAAGAGTTCAAATCCAAGGTGCATCAAAAATGCCAATAGTGTGTGCAGGACAAGTATTTTCTAACTTAACAGTGTGGCTCATCCTTTCTGGAGCAGCCAAATCTAATTACACATTACATCTAGAAACATACCTGTCCTGACGGATAACTCTCCTGTCCTGTCAGGACAGAAACACAGAAAATGTTCCTTAAAACTCTCTGTAATGTTAAATAGTGTTATTCCTTTTCTGTAAAAACAGAAAGTAATTTAATCTGCTGCAGTATACTGAAAATCAATACTGTACTCCACCAAGAGTTCAGCACATAAATGTTGTGACTAATTTTCTTTCTACTGGTTTTTATCTGTTACTTTGCTGCCATTTGCACATTTTCCATTAAAACCTCATTATTAATGTTCTACGTTGCATTTTTAGTTTAAATCAGTATGCAGTGTAATACATGTATTAATGTGAATAATTTCATTACATACACATTTATTGCCTTCTCAGCCATTACAGAAGTAAAACTGCTCTGATTTAATCCTTTTTATAGCTAGAAAATAAGTATGGCTTAAATTTTTAAAAAGGCATGAGTCCTTGCACCTGGATGACATATGTTTTTCTGAGATGTAAAATTTTATTATACACTACAGGTTGCACCCCTGTAGATGTAAATGCCTGTTAAAAAGATTAAAATACACCATACAGAGCAATAAAGAGAAAAAAGCAAATCAATATGCAGTGAGCATAGTTTTTCCTCTAAATCTTCAGGGTTAATCCAGTTTGGAATCCACTGGGAATAGACTAATAATATTTCTACTTCATATTTAAAGAACTTGTGTCAAGCAGAAAAAAAGCATAAACCGGGCAAAGCAGCCTTTCATAGACACACATTCACTTCACATTCAAGGATCCCTGCTGCACTCTGAATGTGCAATCATACAGACAATGTTATTAATGAATGATGTGCAAATGCATATATTTTTTATTGAAATTAAGTGATCAAAAGTGGGTAGCACAGTGGAGTAGTGGTTAGTACTGGCGCATAACAGCTCTTGTGTTCAAGGTTCCTTTCTGAACTGGGGTGTCTTGCTTGCATGCCCTATTTGATATGATAGTTCTCATATTAAGGGTGCTCTGGTTACCTTTCACATTCCACAGACATTGTTTGGTTAATCAGTATTACCAAATTATTTCTCTATACCTGTGTGCATGTCCTGCAATGGACTGGTTACTCATCCCAGGTATAGTCTGACCTTGTGCTGTGCTTCCGGACTAGGATCCAGGTTATTGTGGCCCTTACCTAAAATAAATAGCTTTCTGATAATGTTTGGTTGACTGATATTTTGTTTCATTTTAAACCGTTCTGGGAAAAAAGGCGAAAAGCAGACTATTAGTGGCTCCTTTCTCTCTGTCTGTGCAGGTCTGCTTTCTGCACACTGTAGAATACTCAGAGCAGAAAAAACAAGGCTGATGTGTACCCATATTGGTGCTGCACACTTACTGAGTGGGTGTGTAGTGAATCAGAATTTCAGCACTTTAAAAGCAACACAGAACAGAAATGATATCTGTATCTGTACTGGAGGGTGCAAGGGTAGCTGAAGGCATTAGCAGAGGTAAAACAAGATTTCCACCTTAACCCTTTCAGGATCACCTCTTTCTTGTGGTTTCTGTAAAGATCAAATGTTATGAATTGCAAGTGAGATTACTTGTTGCTAAGAGCGACCGTACAAAACACGGTGCATCGCCATTTCGACATGATCTCTGTTACAGTGGTGCTGTGCAGTATTGTTATCCCTTCCTGTTAATTATTTTTTGCTTTGTGATTTTTTAAGATGTGCTAACAGACATTAAACAATTGGTAATTGCTTCAACCCAAATCATGATTAATCAGGTAGCCTTACAATGACCTTGGCATTGATTTTAATAGATCTGTACATTAAGAGAAAATGTAAGGATGACAAATGAATCAAATCAAAGTACATTTCATGGATGGTAATTGGGAATGCTCACTGTTAAACATGATCCAGAAAATATTAATTATAATTCATAATCATCATCTCAGGGCCCTGACTATGGTAATTTCTTTTTTATGCTACTCTGTTTTACAAAGTGTGGTGAGTTTGTTAGGGTTCATTAGAAGTGATTTTCTGATTTACTCCACGTTCATTTCTCATGTATTTGATGATTAGAACATTGTATGCTAAAGGCATATTACATGGGCCAATTGTTTTGTAATTGGTCAGTCTGAAAAATATGTAAGATTACTATCTTGATTGCCCTAAGCACAATTATTTTTGGACAGAAATAGAAGTGCTGATTCAATTACTAATAAGTTTGTTTTCATGACCAACTGTGTATTTATATATAAAACAATTGTCAAAAATGAAATGTATGAAAATACAGTGCGAGAGCTCCTTCTTAATGTTTCCTGTTTAGTTTTCTTATTGCGGTTCGCCAATTTAGAAATAATTTTCCATATCCATAAAAGGATTTCTAAAATCTCAGCAGAATCTATGCAAACTCTGATTATCATCTGTGTACCACCATAAGAGTCTTATAATATTTTATCAAGCTACCTTAAACCCTACATAATATTTATAAGCTGTATGTTTGCACGTATTCAGATTAAAAACCACCAAACCTGGGTTCAGATGGAGTTCACTGATGGTCTTAAAACATCGTTGCTCGATTATGGTCTTGCTAATTGTTTAAAAGGTCAGAGGTCTGGCTAAAGGTCAAAACAAGATCCAATAGATTTAAACTTCTTGTATGAATGTATTTTTAATTCACAGGGTTATATAAAATGAAAATAAATATTGTACTAATTGCTTTAATATTTGCATCGGTATTTTAAGCCAAGGTGGTTTATGAGGGTGGCATAGCATAGTGGGTGAGCCTTTGCACTCATGACTGACAGGTTGTGGGTTCGAGTCCTCATTGCAGACACTGCTGTTGTACCTTGAGGGAGGTACTATACCCCTATTGTTCCAGTTAACCCTGCTGTATAAGTGGGCACCAGGATTGCTGTGGGGGGGAGATAACCTGTGATGGATCAGCATCTCATCCACAGGGGAACTATTCTCTCGTCTACCTAATAGTATAGAAATCAGTGTGAGCTGTGGTTTACCTTTTGAATCTGCATCTGAGTGGTATTTTCCGTGTTGTCTCATGTTTGCATGGGTTTCCTCCAGGTACTCTGCTTCCTTCACACACTCCGGAGACATGCTGTTATTTGGCAGCCCTAAATTGCCCCCTCATGTACTGTATATGTGTACCCTATAAATGACTGGTGTCCTGTCTAGACCTGATCCCTCCTTGTCTTGCCA